AGACTCCTCCCAGCCCAGATTCCTCCCAGCCCAGACTCCCCACAGCCCAGACTCCTCCCAGCCCAGACTCCCCACAGCCCAGACTCCTCCCAGCCCAGACTCCCTGCAGCTCAGACTCTTCCCAGCCCAGACTCCTCTCAGCACAGTGCCTCCCCAGCTCCTATCCTCATTGTACTTTACAGAAAGGGCTGTTTTCTCCCATAGACACCTGCCTACTCCCCCTAAGGTCTAGAATTAAGTCCAGCTGACTGGTTTAGCCCTGCACAGCACCCACATTTCTCCAAACGGCTGTGCATTCAATATTTACTAATTGTCCTTCATCCAGTGAGATAATCATATTCATCTTCTTGCCTGGCAGACAATAAAACAGATGGTGAGAATCAAGAGGTTCCAATACCTTTTCTGTACCCCAGAGAAACCACATCACAGGCCAGCCTGAACTGTGCACCTTTCTGTACAGATTGCCCTCTGCCATGGGCTGTCCCCTACCATGATACTCTCCTCAACATCTGTCCCCCTAACTCCTCCCTGGCATTCCATCTTCCAAACACTCTACTCCTCCCCCGTCAACATTCTGTCACTCTTTTCTTCCCTCCCCAAACATTCTGCACCCCCACCATTTTCTATCACCCCAAACATTCAGCTCCCTGGCTCTGACAGTCCATCCTTTCCCCCTGGAAAGGATTATTTACAAGGATTACAAAGGATTATTTACAAGTGACATTGTGGGTGAGGTGAGTGCAGCACTGAACCTTCTGCTCTGGAAATGCTTATGGAAGCAGGAGGCTCAAGTATGAGGGATAAAGATTCACCAAGAACATTGCCAACCAGAGCCTGCGGGCTGGAGTCTGTATGGGGGACTCACAGGCTGGGGGCTTCACGAGGGACTCACAGGCTAGGGGTCTCCATGGGGTCTCAGGCTGGGGGGCTGTACAAGTTGGGGTGTTCAGGAAGGACTCGCTCTCACCCCAGGGAGACTCATGAAGCCCCCCAAAGGAGGAGTCTTTGAAACAATTAGACTTCCAGTATGGGGTGGGGGGTGATCAGAGGAAGAGAAGAGCTGAGGTAGGACCTGAAGAGTCTGCAGAGAGCCAGAAGGACTGAGTATCTCATCCTTGGAAACCCAGAGACCAGTGGCAGAGAAGCACCAAGAAAGAACATCTGAACATTGCTGGTCTCATATAGGAAAGAAAGAAGGGATGGTCACAGTAGAGAGTGCGATTAACTCCGTGCCCACTGCCACAGTCATATATATAGCCAGTCACATATGGAGTCACGCCAGCACACAACCATCACGCAGTCGCACACAGGGCATAGTGCACAGTCCTGCAGAGCTGCCGGATTCCACACAGACACACAGACAGATGGACGACTGCCACCCGTCTGGTCCCTACCACATGACACCATGAATGTCACACTCAAGGTGCTCAATAAAATTCCACAGTCCCACCAACAGATTATTAAGAATCAAATCCCCAGCCTTCTGCACCCATAGGCTGTGCCAAAAATCAGCTCTGAGCAGGACGTTTGGCTTCTGGTCAGGGCACAGCCTCTTGAGCCTGTTCTGTCCTAATGGCTGATGAGATCAAACATCCCCACACCTTCCTGTCACCCTGCCCACCACCCCTCACCTCCCTCCTGGCCCTCGCTCCTGACCTCCAGTCTCCATCCACACCTGTGTCTCATCCTTCGTCCAATGTCAGAATTGGCTGATTTTCCCCAGGACCAGGAAAGTTTGCATTTCCTCCTTACACGCTCTGGTTTCCAGGTGTGAGGTGTGGTGAGCCCCTCCTGACCACCTCTCAGCTCCAGCTCATTACCCAGCCAAGACACCTTCTGCGCCTGGCTGCCTAGCAACTCAGCTACTTGTAGAGATGCACAGTGCTTGTGGAGACTTGCCCGCTCCTCAGAGACCTGCTTCTCTGGCAGAGTCCCAGGAGAAATCAGCAGCTTCAGGCCCTGGGGCATAGCTGGGGAAGCGCCCAGAGGAAGGTCTTCAGCTCGAAGCTCCCTGTGGGGTAGAGCAGTGCACAGGAGCCTCTGCCCTGCCCACCCCATGTGCTCTCAAACTGTCCTGGCAGCATGATATGGGCCTTTGGACAAGCGGTGGGGAGTCATGTAGGAGTCCACAGCTTCTACAAGCTGTGCTAGAAACCCTGAATTTATGGTCAGGGTAGAGACACCCAAGTAGGGGGTAGAACCATAGACACATGTTCTGTGTTCCTGCCTCTGCTCACTGCCCTGCCCGTGCTCTTCCCTGTGCCCCCTCCCCTGTCCTGTGCCCCTCCCTGTACCCCCTCCCCCGTCACGTGCCCCTCCCCCGTCCTGTGCCCCTCCCCCGTCCTGTGCCCCTCCCCCTGTCCTGTGCCCCCTCCCCCATCCTGTGCCCCTCCCTCTGTCCTGTGCCCCTCTGCCATCCTGTGCTCCCTCCCGGTCCTGTGCTCCTCTCTGTGCGGCCCCCACCGCGTCCTGTGCCTCCTCCCCTACCCTGCACTCACTCAGCTGCTCTGGACTCACTCACTTGTGTTCTTCTCCTCTAGGGCTCAAGCAGAAACTCCAGTAAATGCTCCTAAATCCTTCTTTGGTCTCCTGTCCATTTCTATCCATGCTGTGAGCCAATCTACAGCTAATTAAATGTTTTATTAACTAGCACATTAATAGTATTGCACCACCTTATTTCATTTTAAACTTTGCTGCACCAGTAGTTCTATCAAATAGTTACTGTTAATAGTTCTAATTTGATCCCTTACTCCCTTTTATTATGCTATGTTATCATATTGTTCTGTCTTGTAATTGGTATTACATTTCCTGGAGTCAAATTCTAATTGATATCCACTTACTATTGTCTGTTATTTTGCTTGTGCTCCACTCCTATCTTTTCTCTTGTTTACCCATATGTTTCTAGTTTTGATGCTGCTTACTAATCAGTTTTTCACATCTCTTTTTCTATAATGTAAACATTTAGGACTATAAATTTCTGTTTAGATGCACATCAGCTTTAGCCCAAAGGTTTTGGAATTATGCTGGAGTGATAGCAAAGCGGATATGGTGTTTGCCTTGCACGCGGCCAACCCAGGTTTGATTCCCAGCATCCCATAAGGTCCCCCGAGCACCACCAGGAGTAATTCCTGAGTGCATGAGCCAGGAGTAACCCCTGTGCGTTGCCGGATGTGACCGAAAAAAGAAAAAAAAAGGTTTTGAAATTATGAATTTTATTATACTCAAATCTAAATGTTTTCTGCTCTTCTCTGTAATCTCTTCTTAGAGACCCTTTCATGTTTTAGAAGTGCTTTTTAAAAAAAAAATCAAATATATGGGGCCTGGAGAGAGGACAATTGGTACTTGCCTTGAGTGCAGCTGACCTGGGTTTGATAGAGTACTTCAAATGGTCCTCTGAGCCCACCACGAGTTACCCTGAGCACAGACCCAGGAGTAAGCCCTAAGCACCTCTGGGATTCCCCCCCCCAAAAGAAGGGGAGAGAAAGAGCTTTGATATTTTAATTTATTATTTAATTTTCTTACTAATTTTAATTGTGTGATGATTTAGAAACCAGTCTTATAATATTAATTCCTGTCATGGGTTGAGGCTTATTTTATTTTGCTTTTTGGGGCATCAATGTTGGGATACAAATACATAATTGTGAAGCTAATCAAAGTGTCATGGGCTTCAAGTTCCATTTTTGTCCTTTTTCTTCCATTTCCTGAGAATGTGAAGCCCAACTCTCAACAAGTGGCAAGCACAGAGCCCATGTGGTCATTACTGCTGGACCTCAGAACAGAGATACTCAGTCAAAGAACAAATTTGGGGAATGGGTCTTGCTGATTATTCTCCTTGAATCTTTTCTGTTCTAGTTTTGTCTGCCAGCCTCTCATTCATGGGGGTTCAGACAGGCTGCTACGAATAAAGCTGAGCCAGGATCTCACCTTTCTGCTACCTGCACCCCAGAAAACTCTGGGAGCTGATATTACCTGCTTCCTGGGAATGAGCCCCTCTAGTCCCAACAGAGAGCAGAGAATACTGGTGGCCCAGAGGGATCATAGGCATCACGGAGTAGAGGGTTTATGTGTGAGCATGAGTGTAACTATGAGCATGGTGTGAAAATGAGTCATTATGAGCATGAGTGAGCGTGAGTGGTGACCATGAGCGTTGTGTGAGGATGAGTGAGTGCGAGTGGTGACCATGAGCGTGGGGTGAGCGTGAGTGAGCGTGACCATGAGTGAGCGTGCGTGTGACTGTGAGCAGGCGTGTGAAGGAAGAGACTGGGCTCCTGGGGGCTACTCCTGCCAGAACCTGTGCTCAGAGCCTGCCGATGCTGAGGGATGGTCCCAATGGCAGCGCGGGGCCCTTGCACCCTCACTGTAGCCACCAGTACAGCCTCCAGTCTGACCTATGGCCCATCAAGAGTGCAGCATGCACACCTACACTGCCCTGGGGTTTGACTCCCTGCTCACCACATAACCCCTGAGTACATGACTCCATCCAACCTGAGGCTGCATCCTCCTCCATGTCTTTCAAGCTCATGAGAACTTTCAGGGCATCTGAAAGAGACTTGCTTACTCCATGGAGCTTACAAGGTGCTCTCTGTCAACTCTCCCCTCTGGGTATGTCAGAAGCTTCCCCCACCCACCACCCCATGACATTCTTTCTCTCTCTCTCTGTCTGTCTCTGTCTCTCTGTCTCTGTCTCTGTCTCTGTTTCTCTCTCTCTCTCTCTCTCTCTCTCTCTCTCTCTCTCTCTCTCTCTCTCTCTCTCTCTCTCTCCCACTTCTCTTCCTCTCTCTCTCCACCCAAATACTCTACCCTCTGATTGGGTATGTAGTCACTGGTTGTTTGGCGCCACCTGAGCAAATGGGCTTCAGAAGACGCCCTCAACACACACACACACACACACACACACACACACACACACACACACACACAATCCCTCACTCTGTCTCAAGCTAGAACCACCACATTTCCCTTAAGGGTTGACTTGCTGCAGATGAATTCACAGCAGAAGCTCAGGATCCTCGCAAGAGTGTCCAGATCCTCCGGGACACCCTCCTCACGGCTTCCTTCACCTCCTTGTTGCGCAGTGTATAGATGATGGGGTTGAAGAAGGGCGTGATCAAAGCATAGACCAGGGCAATGTACTTGTCTGAGCCAGCATGGCTCCCGGATGCCCCAGAGTAGACAATGAAGGCAGAACCGAAGAACAGCGCCACCACTGTTATGTGTGAGGAGCAGGTGGAGAAGGCCTTGGCACGGCTGGCCCCCGAGGGGAGCCTTAGCACAGTCCTCAGGATGCCCCCATACAGACCCACAATAAAGAGGAAGTCAAAGCCATTGATGGTGCCTATTACAATTTTGATAATGTGCTCGTGCCACTGGGTGTCCATGCATGCCAGGCGCATGAGTGGGACCAGGTCACAGAAATAGTGGGCCACCTCAGTCAGACAGAAGGGCAGAGTGGCCATGAGGCTGGCTGGCACCGTGGCAGCCAAGAAGCCAGCTGCCCACGATGCTCCAGCCAGCACCACCCGCAGCCGAGGGCTCATGAGTGAGTGGTAGTGCAGTGGGCGGCAAATGGCCAGGTAGCGGTCCAGTGCCATGGCGCCCAGCAGGTAGCACTCAGTAATGCCCAGGGCATGAAACACATAGAGCTGGATGAAGCAGGCAGCTGCCGGTATGTGGGAGCGCCCCCAGAGCAGTGAACGCAGCAGCGTGGGGGCTGTGGTGCTCACGTACCACAGCTCCAGGAAGGACAGCACGCTGAGGAAGAAGTACATGGGTGTGTGCAGCCCCGGCTCTGCCCGCACCAGCACCATGATGAAGAGGTTCCCGGTCAGTGTGAGCACGTAGACACTCAGGCTCCCCAGGAAGGCCAGGGGCCTCAGGGAGTGTGGGAGTGTGAATCCAGAGAGCAGGAAAGTCGGGGTGCTTGTGTGGTTGGCCGGGGCCATGGAGCTAGCCGAAGTGAAGACACGGTGGACTCTCTCAGGACCCAAGTCTTGAGAAGGTTCCCGGAGCCATGAAAGGAAACCAGATCTGAAATAACTGCACTCCCTCTTCAAAGTGGAGCAAAAGGGGTGGGAGCGCATAAATTCTCAGCCTGCTGCAGACAGATCAGGGTTCAGACAGTGCAGGACCTTAACAAAGGTTTGGAACACTAATGCGAGATTTGACCTGATGCTTAGTCCCTAGAACCAAAATTGTGTGTTTTTCCTAATGCCCCTGAACATGCTTAGGAGGTTAGGGCAGGTGGTCATCTGCTTCCCTAGTTTCCTTGCCTGTGTTGATGTCCCCCAAACAGGCAGACCCTCATGCGTCTGCATCACCCTCTCTCTGCTAGGCCTCCTGGTCCTTACCTGGCACTGTGACAGCATCTAGGTATGTAGCACGCGCTGCAGCAGCCACCACCCCTGACACCCGGTCTTATCCATCTCCTTCCCAGAGGTACTGGCCCCAGGAATCTTGCTGTGCGGCTGCTGATGAGTTCCCAGGGGTCACTTGGGGCAGAAGTTAGCTCAGAAGACGGTTGCACAGCTGCGTTTTCTCAAGTGATCATAACCTCCTCTGCAGCCCCGAAGGCTTGACTTGGAGCACATCCAGAGGCATTGCCTCCTCCAGTGGGAGCCCCGCGTCCCTGTGGGAGGGCCAGTGCTGGTGTGCCTCTGTCCAGAGGAGAGCCACGTGAGCGGCTGGAAGTGAGCTTCAAATCTCTTTGCAGGGTCTGGAATGTGACCCAAGGACAGAGCGCATGTCCACTATGTGCAGGTCCCAAGTTCTGCTGCAGCCCTACCCCCAGTACCAGACCCAGCATCCCCAGGACCATAATCCCTCTCATGGAAAAGCCAGTCTAATGCCATGCATGTGGCAAAGCAGCCCAGAAAAAGCCTATTTTGAGGACTATGCAGGCACTTCTGTGAAATGAAGAAAAGACACAATTTTTCCCCTCACTCTGTATTTAAGGGCCAAAAGGGGGAACAGCCAGAGACTCTCCACAGAGAGCTCGTGAAATGAAGCACCTCTGGCTCCAAGCAGCCAGAGAACAGGTGAAAAGCTTCCACACAAGAGAGGGAGAACCCCAGTGTTTCTTGGCACAGCAAACATGCAGAAGCCAAAGCTGAGCCATACATGCAAGAGGGAACCGGATACACAGGAACAAGGTCGTAGAGTTGAGTGCAGGGTCTCCCCTGTGCCCCTCTCAAGTTATACACAGTGTTTCTGGGTGTCTATGCTTGTCCTGAAGTCACACTGCAGGATTCCCACTGATCAGGGTTCCAAGTTAGCAATCTGGCCCCTACAGCCACCTCTGAGTCACCTCTTGTGCCTCACTGATTCCACGCTCCTCCCTACCTCTGCCCAAGAAGGCTGTGGCGAGGGGGTGCTGACCTTCTCCTTACAACCAAATGGAATGGTTCTTTTAGGAAGCGACACTTGAGATCAGGAGAAACTGTTCTCGGTGTCACTTAGGGGAGCAAATAGCCAACAGGTAACACAGCTGCATCTGTGTCCACCAGCCCAATCCTCCTGTCCTTGTGCTGGCATGCAACAGGTGGGCTTAGACTCGCTTTCTCTAGGAAGTGACCATCCAGAGGCCAGGAGGAGGATGTGGCCCATCTGACCTTTGATTACCAGATAGAAGTGGCCAGAAAGGCTTCTGGGTTCCTGCCCTCAAGGATGAATCCCAGAAATCAGGCTAATGAGTCTACTGAGTTTACTGGCTGACTTTGCCAGTAAACTCAGGGTGGTTCTTCATTCTGAGGGAAGTTTCCATGTAAGCGTGCTCTTGAGAGCGCACCATGCCAGGGATAGCAAACACACTAGACAGACTTTATTCTGGCATCTTCATAGGTGAGGATGGATAGAGCGGGGAGGGTCAGCCAGGAAAGAGGAGCCACGGTCTATCCCCCTCCACGCTGCCTCTGTAGGAACCCAACCTCCACTGAGAACTCTGCAGAGCAGAGGGACAGGATCACTGGTGTCACTGAGCCCCGTCTTGGCTTGGCAGGACCCCAAAGTTCCCCCTTGTTTTGTTGATTGGTTTCTAACTTTAACTCAGTTGATGTTTGTCACATCCTCCAGCTCATTTCTCCAGCATTTCCCAAGTCTCCATGAGAACAGGCTGTGCCCACTCTCCTCCTCCTAGCTCCAGACCCTCTAGCAGGAACTGCTGCTCTAACCCACCTTAGATCAAAGCCTCTGGAATGGAGCTGAGTGCTTGTGTTCAGGGTCCAAGGCTTCACGTCCAACAGCTCACACAGACCTGCCGCCTCTTCCACCCTGCTCTCCATCCTCTCGGTCTGCAGTGAGGATGAGGACTCAGCCTGCCCTGGAGAGATAGCTGAGCCCCCTTACTCAGCACTGAGTGCACAGAGAAAGGACCAGTCACCCCCTACACAGGATCGCACCACTTTCTGCAGCACGTGAGCTCCCTGTATGTGATATCTGCCCCTTTACATCACAGCCGCCCTTGGTGTTTCTTCCTGCTCCGCACCCTGCGCCTCTTGTCATGAGCTCTCTGGCTGTGACCTGCTTCCCCAGGCTGGAACCACATCCAGTGGGAGGAGTCCTATTACAGAACTCCTCCCTGTAACAACAGCTACAGTGCCTGATGTCCTCCTCCCGAGCCAGGGGTCACAAGGCAGGAAGGACGCTGACTCACACTCACACACAGACCAAAACACCACCCCAAACATCCATATCACCAAGAGCTAGACTAGGCACACTGGAGACGTTAGGATTCCCATAGGAGTGTCCGGACCCTCTGGGACACCCTCCTCACAGCCTCCTTCACCTCCTTATTGCGCAGGGTATAGATGATGGGGTTGAGGAAGGGTGTGAGTAGGGCATAGACCAGGGCAATACATTTGTCAGCACCCTTGGGGCGTCCTCCAGGGGTGCCCACATAGACTGAGAAGGCAGAGCCATAGAACAGGGCCACCACGGTCATGTGCGAGGAGCAGGTGGAGAAGGCCTTGGCACGGCTGGCCCCCGAGGGCAGCCTCAGCACGGCCCTCAGGATGCCCCCATACAGACCCACAATGAACACAAAGTTGCAGCCTGTGGCCACTCCAATCACAGCTCCGTGGATCTGGTTGTGCCAGTCAGTGTCTATGCATGCCAAGTGCATGAGTGGGGCCAGGTCACAGAAATAGTGGGCCACCTCAGTCAGACAGAAAGGCAAGGTGGCTGTGAGGCTGGCTGGCACCGTGGCAGCCAAGAAGCCCGCTGCCCACGATGCCCCAGCCAGCACCACCCGCAGCCGAGGGCTCATGAGTGAGTGGTAGTGCAGTGGGCGGCAAATGGCCAGGTAGCGGTCCAGTGCCATGGCGCCCAGGAGGTAACATTCGGTCATGCCTAGGGCATGGAACACATAGAGCTGGATGAAGCAGGCAACTGCGGGTATGCGGGAGCGCCCCCAGAGCAGTGAACGCAGCAGCGTGGGGGCCGTGGTGCTCACGTACCACAGCTCCAAGAAGGATAGCACGCTGAGGAAGAAGTACATGGGTGTGTGCAGCCCCGGCTCTGCCCGCACCAGCACCATGATGAAGAGGTTCCCGGTCAGTGTGAGCACGTAGACACTCAGGCTCCCCAGGAAGGCCAGGGGCCTCAGGGAGTGTGGGAGTGTGAATCCAGAGAGCAGGAAAGTCGGGGTGCTTGTGTGGTTGGCCTGGGCCATGGCATCAGCCCAGGCAGAGACACGGAGAACTCTCAGGATCCTTCCACTGTTTGGCAGCACTTTATCCCACAGCTGAGAACCCAATTACCTGCCGGGACAAAGGTGTGGGGGTGAAGAACAAGATCCTGGATTTCAGCATGGACGTTTGCTGCTCCCAGCGTTGTGTCCCTGGCCGACGCAACAGCACTGGCTCTGCCTGCCTATTGAGCCCTCCGGAAGCAGGAGAGGTGGACACCCCAGGGCTCCATGATGAAGTGGCCCCAACACCAGTCTTGGCATGAGAGACACCCCAGGAAGTGACCTCAGGCCTCTTTGGGCTTCCCCCAGAGTTATCACTTTTCTCTCTGGGGACTCCAAGTATAAGCCGAGACCTGGCAGGAGCCTGTGACTCTCATGGAGAACCACCAGCTCAGAAGTTCCAATCAGACCCTGTCTGTTGGAAAGTCTCTTTAGTCATGGATCTGACCCTGAGAACTACTGGGCATGATCCTTCCACACACTGTATGTGACAAAGTCCCCTAGTAGACTCACATCTCCACATCTGAAATGAGAGAGTTGAACTAATGTTTCTGAGACCCTTGCAACACAGAAGTCCATTGCCCGTGCCATGCAGAACCAGACTGTGGTATGTGACACCACTGCCCCCACCTCCCTCCCTAAAAGCACATGACGCCCAGGCAGACAACCCCTTCTGGTGCTGTATGTCATCCCATCTCTGCTGGAGCCCCCTATCATTACCTGGCAATGTGACAGCATCTAAGCACCTAGCACATGCTGCAGCATCCACCACCCACCACCCCGTCTTATCTACTTCCTCAAGGTGTTTCCTGCCCCTCCCACCCCACCCCCGGGATCCCGTTGCTTGCCCCCATGTGGCTGTTGATGAGCTCCCATGGGTCACCTAGCTGTAGTGATTGGCTCAGGAGATAGCAGCGTATCAGCTTTTATCTCATGACTGTTCACCCACCATGGAACCCACCCACATGCCAGTGGCAGAGGGTGGACAAGGGGGCTATGAGCTATCAATGCCAGGAACAGACTTGGCTGTTACAGAAGACAAAACTATGCCTTTGGGACAAAGAAAACAGACTATGAGGCAATGGGGCTCCGTGAAATGCATGTGAAAAGGAGAGACACTCCCTGTGTGAGACACAGTGATGGGAATAGAGACAGTCCCTGCACAGGACATGGGGAGAGCAGAGGGGGCCTGGCCCTGGCATAGGTGCTTCGCCTCTGTGATAGTGATTGGCTTGGGAGGCTGAGCCCTGCGGGCTATAC